TTTTGCTCAATTTTTTCCTGCATTTCACTCCGGGAAACTTTGTGTTATTTGTTGGGAGTTGAGGGGAAGTTGCTGCTTGAACGCGGGTTCTTCATATAATGTTATTTTAAAAAATATTTATACATTTCTAATTATATTAATTGACTTGGCTAATATTGCGAATAAGTAGATATGCAATTGTTAAAAGGAAGTTGCACCTGTTAAGATAAACTTCTCAGAGGGACAATCAATGTCCTTGAGAGGCCATTTACAATGCGAACTTAACTACATCGTTGAACGATTTCTGTTCTGAATGGTTTTTATACCCAACATTTTTATGTTTGCTCAGCATTCCACATTTATGAGGAAATGCAGAGATGAGCAAAAAATTTTTTACCACATCATTTCCACGCAATTACTGTCAATCTTTAAAGGCATATATATAACTAGAAAAAAAAAGACGAGTGTTACGTACCAGTATACACCAAAGTGGAGAACTTGGGCCGTTCAGTTTGTGGCACCCAGGAAGCCAGCAAGAAGTTCATTGCTGGAAAAGTTACACCCTTGAAGAGACAAATATTTTAAATTAATAGAATACAACACCGGGAAGTTGATGAACAAGACACATGTGCAACACTTGGGTATCTACAGTGTCGAAACGTTCAGCCATCACAGCAGCCTTCTTCAGGGAAAAATGCCTATAGAAACCTTCTCTGCAGGCAAAAATTTTGACAATTAAAATAGTCATGTGTTGCATATGTGTCTTATTCTTCAGATAAAATTTATTCAGTACACAGCTGAAATTAAAACAATATAAGGTATGAACAATAATGGTTAAAAGACAAGCTTTAAAGTTTAAATTAAGAATTTTAGCAATATTATTAGTAATATTTTAGTGAAATTATTAGTAATATTAGTCTGATCAGCTGTACACTGAGGAAGAGTCTTACCTCCGTGAATCCCTCTAAGATTCTGATAATAATGAAGAGTGTGGTGGAGGCCCTGGCACATACGGGAGAGAGGAGTGTGAGGATGGTGGTGAGAAAGACGCCTGTGCCAAACACAATCTTTCCGCCCAAGTACTCCGCCATCCGCCCTCCCACAAAATTGGTCAAGGTGTATCCATAGAAGAACGAAGCCAGGATGAGGCCGCGGGTACTGTCGTCCCAGTCGAATTCACCATTCTGCGGATGAGTTCTTCTCACTACCTTGTCTCTATAATCAAGCATACTAAATTTATAAATTTTTAACATTGTGCTTAATATATCAGAGGAGGTATTTATTTTTTTTTGTATTTTTACACGTAGTTTATTGGATATGGATATTATGCCCACTAATATAGAATTATTATTCCCTGAAGGATAACTCTTGATCAAAGAGGCTGACCAGATCAAGACTGAACAGGACTCTGTGAATACTTTGTGAGGATTTCAGTGTAGTGGAAGTGTTGTGCAGTTAGTGTGGAGGTTGATGAGTGGTGGTAGTGGGCCAAGATTATCATATATACAAACCTCAAAAAGCCTTAATTTACACATCTGCTTCCAGCACCATGAGCCATGCTTACCTGGAGGTTACCTGGAGGTTATTCCGGGGATCAACGCCCCCGCGGCCCGGTCCATGACCAGGCCTCCCGATGGATCAGGGCCTGATCAACTAGGCTGTTACTGCTGGCCGCACACAGTCCAACGTACGAGCCACAGCCCGGCTGATCCGGCACTGACTTTAGGTATCTGTCCAGCTCTCTCTTGAAGGCAGCCAGGGGTTTATTGGCAATTCCCCTAATGCTTGATGGGAGGCTGTTGAACAGTTTTGGGCCCCGGACACTTATGGTGTTTTCCCTTAGTGTACCAATGGCGCCCCTACTTTTTATTGGGGGCATTTTGCATCGCCTGCCCAGTCTTTTACTTTCGTAGGGAGTGATTTCTGTGTGCAGATTTGGGACCATTCCCTCAAGATTTTCCAAGTGTAGATTATGATATATCTCTCCCTCCTGCTTTCCAACGAGTACAAGTCAAGTGCTTCCAAGCGTTCCAGTAGTTAAGGTGCTTGACAGAACTTATACGTGCAGTAAGGATCTCTGTACACTCTCTAGATCTGCGATTTCACCTGCTTTGAATGGAGATGTTAATTTTACAGCAGTATTCCAGCCTAGAGAGAACAAGTGATTTGAAAAGGATCATTGGGCTTGGCATCTCTCGTTTTGAAAGTTCTCATTATCCATCCTATCATTTTCTTTGCACGTGCGATCGTGGCACTGTTGTGATCCTTGAAAGTGAGATCCTCAGACATTACTACTCCCAGGTCCCTTACATTATTTTTCCGCTCTATTGTATGGCCGGAGTCGGTAGTATACTCTGTTCTAGTTATTATCTCCTCAGTTTTCCTAACGGAGTAGTTGGAATTTGTCCTCATTGAACATCATTATTGTTTACCGTTGCCCACTGGAAAACTTGTTTATATCTTCTTGGAGGTTAACGCGTCCTCAGCAGATGACAGCCTCATGCAGATCCTAGTATCATCCACAAAGGATGATACGGTGCTGTGGTGTATATCTCTTGTCTATGTCTGATATGAGGATAAGGAATAAGATGGGGGCGAGTACTGTGCCTTGTGGAACAGAGCTCTTCACTATGGCAGCCTCCGATTTAACTCTGTTGACCACTACTCTTTGTGTTCGATTTGTTAGGAAGTTGAAGATCCATCTCCCCACTTTCCCAGTTATTCTTTTAGCACGTATTTTATGGGCTTTTACGCCATGATCGCATTTGTCAAATGCTTTTGCAAAGTTGTGTATTTTACATCTGCATTTGATTTTCTTTCCAGTGCATCCAAAGGGCCAGTCATAGTGTCCGGGAGTTGTGAAGGCGGGAAAGTGACCGCCCTGAACCCTTGTTGCCCGGATTGTGCAGTTTTTGGGTTAAGGTGATTTGCAACCCTCTTCTTGCACCTTTTCAAAAGATTTTTATGTTTGGGGACGTCGAGCTTTGGTTATAGTTTTTAGCTAATGCTTTGCTGCCACCTTTTTGGAGTGGGGCTATACCCGTTTTTTTAGTGCGTGGTTTTCACCCATGCCCAAGCTCCTCCTCCAAAATTTACTTAGGGCACGCGGGGGGTTTCTTGCGTTCTTAAGAAAACGGTTCCAGGTCTGGCCCGGGGCTGGTCCCCATAGGCTGTTGTAAAGGGTTTTTCGAAAATCTTCGGAGTTGGGGGGTTTAATTTTGGAAATCTGGCATACATTTTATGGATTTTTTTGAGGTCTTATGAAGAAATCATTTGGGTCGTCGACCCTCAGCCCGATTGTAGTTCACTAAACACAGGTCGTACTGTGATTTAAATTTTTCACCCCTTTCCTTTTGTATCGGTTAAGTCCCTCCTGTCTGAGAAAGGGCCCGATACTAATGTGGTATTTGCCTTGTTTTTTGCTATGAAAAAAATTTTTAAAATTTCTTTTCAATTTCACTAATAGCTTTAAGCTCCCCCCTGCCCCCCGGGTTTCCCTGAAAAGGTCATTTAGTTAATTTCGTTATTTTCCCACTTCCCTTCAGTGTTTCCTTTCGTGTATCAGTATTTAGCATCCTGAGGAGCCCTGATCTTCGCTCTTTGCAGGGGGCGTCTTTTTCTCTCCAGTTTACTCCTGCTCTTCTTTTTTCTTTGGGATAGCCTAAAATGCTTCGGCTACCAGGAATTTTTTCTTTCAACCTGGTTTGGTCCATGTATTTAAGACTTTCCCCAAAAGTTTTGTTTAGGACATGGTTTACCTGGTCCCAGTTGTGTTGTGTTGTTGAAGTTGTATTTTTTGAAAAAACCTTACAGGTACAGCATTCTGCTGATCAGGACCCTTGCATGTACGCTGGGCTTCGAAATTGACTTTGAAATAAACGTGTCGAGTATGAAATAAATTTGAGACAAGTGTTGGGGAAAAAAGTGTAGTGTTGAGAATAACGTGGAAGTGTGACCAGTCAGTTCCGTCAACCCCCTCATCACGGGGGAGGGAAGGAAAAGGCCAGACTGTAGGTGAAAAAAGAGGGAACAACTGGGGTTTAGCAGTGCACATACCCACATCTGTCTTAATTTTAAAGTGCATGGGAAACAAAAAATGTGTTTGTTGTAAACCAGTTTTTTATGCCCGGGGTTGCGCATGTGTCTTAATTTCATCTTGTCGGTATTTATACCATTTTTTCCTAAAATATACTATTCCACCACCTTTCCCGCCTATATATAGCCGTCCTGCCCCCCCTTTGGTTAGTGTGACTTTTTAAATGGTCCAAAATCGGGACCGAAAAAATCGTCGTAAGCTTCTTTCTTTTATGGTGGGTTATTTGTGTAAGGTCATTGATATATATTATAAACAACAACGGACCCAAGACTGATCCCTGTGGAACGCCACTTGTTACAGATCCCCACTCAGATTTAACCCCATTTATGCACACTCTCTGCTTCCTATTAGTGAGCCATGACTCGATCCATGACAGCATTTTCCCCCCAGTGAAGCGTTTAGTTCTCTTAGTTAGGATTGTGTGAAGCAGCCTTGATTCAAAAAATTCCATGTATAGATTACTAAAAACAGGTGAAAGAAGATTTCCCATTGCCATACCAAATTTCTGAGTGTAAAATTTATCATTAAATACAAATTTTGCATCAACAATGCAAAGTTTAATAAGTTAAATGATAGTAGGAACTGGCAATGGTAAATCATAATTAACAAGTTCTTCAGATAAGAAACTTAATAAATCATCAACTGGAACTTTTGTAAACAAGGAAGTAACATCAAAACTAACCATGTTGAAATCATTTAAGTCAGTCAAGGAGCTTAATTTATCAACTAAATCTATGTTGTTTTTAACATTAAAGTTAGAAATTTTACCAACAATAGGGCTCAAAATGTCGACAAGCCATTTGGATAATTTATACGAAACTGATCCTATGGAGCTAATAATTGGTTTGATTGGATTACCTGGTTTGTGTGTTTTTATTAGTCCATACATGTAAGGTAAAGATAGATTAGTGGAAGTAAATTATTTAATTAATTCATCTTTGCCTTTCAGTAGAAGTTTTATTGTTTTATTGAAATTGCTGTTAACGGTTTCTAAGGGATTCTTCCTAAGTTTAGAATAGGTTTCAGTATCATCTAAGAGATTATTAATTTTTTCTTGGTAATCATTTTCTTTCATAATTACTATTGCATTTATTTGATCTGCTTTGGTAAGGCGTAAATTTTTATTATTATTAAGTGTATCATAAGACTTTAAGAATCTTTGAGGACAATTGGGAATGTTTTGTTTTATTAGTGGGTTGTCGTGAGGACCTGTCTAGTTGGGCCAGCGGACCTACTGCAGTGTTCCTCTTTTCTTATGAGTCGGGTATTGCAGCGCGTCAGGTGTTTCTTTGTTGTGGGATATGATTGTGAGGTGTGATCTAGACACTTCATATCCCTTCCTTTGTTGTATTAATTTCATAGTTCCTTGACAATGTGAGTAGTCACGAATGCGCTTGGAATTTTTTATTTGGCTTAAATAGCAATGCACATCTTGCCATATAGGACAAGCGAAAATTTGTGCATGCAATAATTTCGCCGAAATCATTCTGATGCTAACGAAAAGAATGTATTTCACTGTGTTTGTTTAGTATTAAATTAATGCAAACAAATCTAAAATATATTTATTGGGTTAGGCTAAAATAAATTGTGCTTGTTATAAAAAGGGTTTTAGGTAAGTTTCCTAAGATTCTTTTGGAGAAAATTATTAATTTTTTATATTAACATTAACAAGAAAAATATATCTTTAATCGTATAAGAGAAAATTTTTAAAATGAGTTCTTGCTATTGACCAGTTTTACATATTCAGCACGGGAAATATATATTTTTATATAATTTATATATATATATATTATATATATATATATATAATATATATATATATATATATATTTATATATATATTATATAATATATATCTGTCGTGCCGAATAGATAAAATTCCGATTTTACTTTAAATAGCAACGGTGTTCTTGCCGAATTTAAAGGGAAGCGGAAATTTATGAATGCAATAATTTTGCAAAAATCATTCTGAATCTAATGAAAAAGATATATTTCACTGTTTATTATTAAATTATAGAAACTTGTCAAAAATTTTTTTTGCTTGATTAGGATAAATTAAACTGTACTTTTTATGATAAGGTTAAGTAAGTTTTCTAAGGTTCTTTTGTTACAAAATTATTAATTTTCATAGTGACATTAATGAAAAAAATTTCTTTAAACGTATAAGGAAAAATTTTAGAAGTGCTTAATTTTTAAATTTAGTTCTTGCTAATTGACCGTTTTACCTATTCGGCACGAAATATATATTAATTTAATTAACTTAATTCGCATTCTGGTAAGCAACATTGGTTTACTCACATAGTTTCCGGAGTCGTTATCATCGTAATCGTCTGGTACTGGGCACCCATCGTTATCGGATGTATTGTTGTAGTGTGCAGTGTTGTTTTCTTTCAAACCCTAGAAACAATAGCAACGGAAAGGTTGACCCGCATGGCGTACACCAGAGACAGTCCCAGAAACCCCAGTAGTGCCAAAGTGTGGCGACAACCCCACAACTCCTTCGGCCCTGAGAAGAAGTACAAGGATAAAATGTGGTGTTGGAAAAGTTCAGTGTAATGTTAGGAATTTTCCCTACAAATTCATCAGTGCCCAAGGAAAAAACTG